TGATGGTGTCCCGGTCATGTTGTGATGGTGTCCCGGTCATGTTTTGATGGCGTCCCGGTCGTGTTGTGACGGTGTCCCGGTCATGTTTTGATGGTGTCCCGGTCCTGTTGTGATGGTGTCCCGGTCCTGTTTTGGCGGTGTGCCGGTTATGTTTTGATGGTGTCCGGGTCATGTGACGGTGTCCCGGTCATGTTGTGATGGTGTCCTGGTCATCTTGTGATGGTTTTCCCGTCATGTCATGTTGGTGTCCCGGTCACCTTGTGATGGTGGTCATGTTGTGATTGTGTCCCAGTCATGTTGTGACGGTGTCCCAGTCATGTTGTGATGGTGTCTCGCTCATGTTGTGACGGTGTCCCGATCATGTTTTGATGGTGTCCCGGTCATGTTGTGATGGTGTCCTGGTCATGTTTTGGCGGTGTGCCGGTTATGTTTTGATGGTGTCCGGGTCATGTGACGGTGTCCCGGTCATGTTGTGATAGTGTCCCGGTCATGTTGTGATGGTGTCCCCGTCATGTCATGCTGGTGTCCCGGTCACCTTGTGATGGTGTCCCGGTTATGTTGTGATGGTGTCCCAATCATGTTGTGACGGTGTCTCGGTCATGTTTTGATGGTGCCCTGGTCATTTTGTGATGGTGTCCCGGTTATGTGATGATGGTGTCCAAGGAAGAGATGGTCGATGTGTTGAAAACAGCAGCTGTTTCCAGATTTTTCTTTTTGTCCCGGTTTGTATCTTGCTATTGGGGTCTCCAGCTGGGCTAATTTCTCCACTGCCACGGGCTACGCTCAGTTGTTTCACGCACAGAAACGAAGTAGCATAAGCAATGCGCCCGCCTGCAGTTGGACGGAGATTCTAATTTCCCCCCTTGTCGAATTTTCGACCGACAAAATTAGAAAAATGAACACAACAAAACGGCAACTTTAGACGACAAATCTGTCAACTGGGGATTGTCTAATTTGGCAACTTTAGAGTTGTCATCATTGTTGCCTTTGGGCGAGTCTATCTAAAACTGAAGGGGGGGGGTGGATCAAAGATCAAGCCAACCATGGACAGCAACACCCACCCCCACCATGAGCATCAAACAGCCAACCGACCCATGAACCAATCAACCAGCCGTAACCAGCCCTACCAGCCAATCAACTAACCAAATCTGAATTCATTAACCAACAGATTAGGTTTGTTTGAGATAAGTATCAACTAACCAGCCAAACAAACAGATTGAACAAACGAGACTTCTCTCAGTGAATCATGCGGACGAATTAGTCTTACTCACTCCTCGTTCCGGAGCCACAAGTGGCGACGAGCCAAGCAAGGCACTGGGTGCCCGCAGCAGTTCAGAGGGCGGCAAAGCCAGCGGCAGAGGCGTGGCGTCCGGTTTCACCACCCACGACAAGACGGGCGAAACGGCCGGCGTCGGGCACTGGAGCTGATGCTTTATAAAGGCTCCTGGTTAAGCTGGACACCGCCCCCCCCCCTTGGGATCGCCAATGGAAGCCCTTTATTTACAGTATACTCATGGATCTCCGTTGGAGACCCTTGGAAGATCTAGCTATGTTCATGTTGTTTGACCAGCGGAGAATTCATCTAACGTGGTAGTGCTAGCGTCGATATAGTTTACAGTGTTCTAATGTTAAGTTAAGTTTTCCTAAAGATCATTAGAACATTGTAAACTATATCGATGCTAGCAGCTACTAGCACTACCACGTTAGAAATCATTACATAGTTAAAGTTTCACTAATGTTAAGTGAAAAATTGAGGATTCAAATCACTTGTGCTAGCACTGGCGAAGGAAGCTTCCTGCGTCCAGTCTACCGGTAGGGTACTAGTCGGAAACGAAAAAAAGCAACCTAGCTACTACATGCTACTACCTCTACAGGAGAGAGGAGCTGGCCGTTTTTGTCCCTTTTGTCTTGGACCTGGGATCCAGACACGGAGACGAGGGACCCAGAGATGAGCGGGCTTTTGTTCACAAACCAGGAGAAGGTTGGTCCTAGTGTTCGTAGAATGTTGGGGTGTGACTTCATTCAACTGAATGTTCAACCTACAGGGCGACCTAGCAGCTAGCAGATCAAGGACCTCATGTCACTGGTTCCGGTCATACAGAAAGAGTACGAGGTCCAGGAGTCAGGAGCGGGTTTGACTTGGTCCAACGGGACCGACACATCCAGCTGATCAGTGACCTGACCGGTCTTTCCGACGAATGGTACTCACAGTGGTTGAAGCAAACTCGCACACATCAGCTTTCCAACCAACCTACCTACCTGCCTGTTTGCCTACCTATCTACCTACCTGCAGATCCATGTTCAGGGTTCCACATTGTTTTCCTTGCTCCATAGGTCAATGAAGCAGAATAAACACATGATCTCGAGTTTCGGAGGCCTCACAAGATTGTTAGGCAGTTTGACGTGAACTAGTGTGTCCAGTGGACAGGTTTAGACCGGTCTAGACAAGTCTAGAGGCTACGTTGACAAAGTCTTTTGAACATGTTTGCTTTCGGATATCCCGCGATGGATGAATCTAGTAATTAGATGCCCTATGGCCAGCAGCTGGCTGACGCCTATGGCAAGCAGAAGAGGGAAAAGAGGAATCCCACTCTTTTTTTTCCAGTTAGGCATCATCTTCGCTATTTGATCCTTGGGATTTGTTGACCCGCTTTTCAGACCACTGTCAGACCACCCTTGACCTGCGCAACGGATGAGCAGGTCTCGAACTCGAGCGGCGCGACCCAGTTCCATCTAGCCACTGGGGCTCTCAGGCCTGGCGCCAGTTCCGCGCTCGTCCGAACAGGTCTGAAAAGACGAGTGAAAAGACACTCAACGAGGCGAGCTTCGACACTCCCAGGTAGGTCAACCAAGTGTCTTTTGGTTTTGACTAGTGTTGACCAAGAACTTCCTGAAAGACTATGGAAATAATCAGGGTGATGTGGATGGCATGGTTGATGACCATCGGATGACCATGTTCCAGAGAACAAACAGGTGGTGAACTCCGGGACTTAAGATTTTGAATCTTTGCGAAAGGTTTTATAATCTTAATAAAAGTTCCGGATGGTTTTTGACACCAATCACCTGGAACATTTTCTGAGTGAAGCTCGCAGCGGTAATGAAGCAACACCCCTGCAAAAAATGGTAAAGTGATTTGTGTGCCCCCCCCGGGGCGCGGAACACTCGACGTTTCTCGGGTCCGGGGATGGAAACACCACGCGGTTGTCTTCGGGTCGTCGGTCGTCACCTGCTGAGATGGATACGGCCAACGAAGCTGTTCAGCTTCACAGTCAGATGGAGCCACAGAAGTCACATGACTGATGTGACGAGGGCCCGTCATATACTATGTACCGACGAAAGTCTCGGGTGGTTTGCAGGGTCAATGTATAGTTTGTCCCAGGACAACCAGTTTTCAGTGGGTCAAAGATCATTCTGTACTTGGTGGAGAATTGTTTTTGTGTTGTTGTTTTTTCTAAGCATCATCATCCACTGTTGTCCAATGGGCATGAAACAAAGTAAACGTGACCAACATATTATCGCCATGACCTTGGAAAGAACTTCACCTTCACCGAGTCACCCCTGTGTTCTTCCACTTTTTTTGCACTTGTCGACTGGTTATATACAAGAGCGATGGCCTCCAACTGTTAACCCTTCGGGGTGACACCCAATCCGAATCCTTCGACCCAGATGATCTAATCCTAATGGTTGAACCATGTCTCCCGCGCCGCTGGCGTTTTTGGGGGGGCGGTCTGCTTCCACCCGGTGAAGGAGCTGGACCTCACCCCGCAGCACAACGTCGTGGGGCCGCCAATCCACTTGGAGGCGGACCGGACGAGGGACGGAGCGGGGCGTGACCGGAAGGGTTCCCAAAGGCATCGGGGTTCCCACCATGTGATGTGGAGGTTGTGATGTGATGTGGACGAACATTTGGGAGAAGCTGATTGGGTTCAATTATAAGATTTCCAGACTCCGGTGACGGGGCAAAGCATTTGGTGAGTTTGCAGTTCTGTGGAGAGATTTTGAGTCCAACGACCCAAAGCATGGAGAAGGTGCTCTGCAGGGTAGAGTGGATTCGTGGAATTCATGGAGTAATTGTCTAAGTTCCTGCTCAAAGCCGCTTCAAGTGTTTTCAAGCGGATACCAGTGGGAGGACTACATTTCTGTGCCTTCTTGTCCAACCGGTCTTAGATCTTATCTCAACCTGGAAAACTGTAGGGTTCTCACCAACACTAAAGGCTTCCTTTCCTGTCACCAGAGTCTGACTAACCACCAGTGTTCCAGGCCATTTGCCTTTGCTCTGCAAGAACTCCACCTCTCCCTACTGGCTTTCACGATTTCGTTGGGTTTTCTTACTGGGCTTCGTTTCAAGAAGGCTTCCAAACCAGGCCTCCAGGATCACCAGGCCTCCCGTGGCGGCGCTCCAAGCGCTGGCACCGCCAGGATGGACCGGGCCGCCACAGCGGCCCCCCCGGCGGCGCGAGTCGTGGGCGGTCGGACCAGGAGGAGCGGCCGGGGCGGCGGTTGATCAACCTGCCAGGTAGAAGAGGATGTTCCTATTTGACCGGGAGGGGCTACATGACGTTCTTTTGGAAAGGAGCAGGTGTGGGGGTTCTTCTTCAAACCACAAGATCGGGTCTGGGCTAGTCAGGCAGGTGTGTTGCCAACTAGATACGGTAAGGGTACCTTTTCTTTTTGGCCATCAAGGATAGCCACTCGAGGGGTGAAAGGGCGAGAGTTGTTGCTACAGGGAGTCCTGATGTCTACTGGTATGATTTTTGTATTTTCTAAGTAAGCGATGTACATATTATACTTCTATCTACCTCGTTCTTTGGCTCAAGTGAAAAGGTGTGCAGTATTGGCTGTTTACCTATAAACATAACTTTGATGTTGAGTAAGTTGTTGAGTACTAAGATTGCCACGTGTTTCCGACTCATTGCTTGTGCTGCCAGGTGCGATCTTTTAGCTTGAAGTTTGGTGATGATTTCAACCAAAGCATGGACAGTTGATGACCTTTGCAACCAGAGCCTGGAACATGTGACCTTGCCAATAATTTTGGCTCAAGATGTGTGCATTTTGCGCGTAAAAGGAGCGCGGTTTTGCTTTGCATTCATGATTTTGAACCTGTGCTGAACGCACAAATCGAGAAGTGAACCTAAGAAGGACACAGCACATATCGAGAAGTGTCCAAGAAATAGTTTGAGAGATTCAACATAATTTGCTTTGAAAGGAGATTTGATTTGACGTGATTTGTGAAAGTGAGAGCAAGTGAGAACTGGAAAGAGCGAGAAACATACACCGATTGAAAATGCCTTTGGAACAGCCAAGTGACTATCCGAAAGCGGCATTGCAAGCACACAACTCTCTCTCTGCTCCAACTCATTTCTCTCCCGTTCCAGACACACCAGAGTCACAGGTTATGAGCCCAAACACGGGCTCTGCCTCTTCAGTCTTGCCTCCAATTCCACCTTTTCCAGTGCACCTACGGCGAGTAGAGATGTCGGAGGTGGCCCTGTCTCACGAGATGTTACAGCAGATAGCCAGTCTAGTGAACTCAGGTCCTGAGGCAATGAATGTAGATGATGGGGCAGAGTTGTCACAAGCTGTTCGTGAAATAGCTTCCCAGATGAAAGGTCGAACTGAAATCCTTGCAGGTGCATTACAAAGTGTGGCCACAAGCACCCAGGGAATCAGCGATCGTGTTGTATTGCTTGAGCAGCAGCTCACAGAAAGCAACCGCAGAGAACAGATGTTAGTCGACCGTCTCCAAGCCTTCTCCAAGTCACAAGAAGGTCGGCTGAAGAGTGTAGAATCCACAATGGAAACCATAGGGCAAGCCTTGCAGGCCATGCAGCAAGCAATAACAGCTATGCAAGCCTCCCTTGAAGAACACCGTAGTTTGACAAAAGCTAGCACAGATCGGGCAGAAGTCAGTCAGACAGATGCCGCTCTGCGCGTCAGTGTGTTGGAGGACCAACATCAGACTATGATGGACCTAGTCAACCAACTGTCCATCCAACAAGTGCCTGCAGATGCGCAACAGGGGCAAGGTATAGCAGGATACATGTCTCCAGTTGCAACTGCTCGGCCAGAACACTTCTCCCTCACCCCATCGCCGGCAGAGCCAGACACGGGTGGTGAGGATGAATGGTGGGACGCTGCTGATGGGCCGCACGCAGTGCCGCCTGGCTTTCCACAACCAGCGATCACACAATCAGTGCCTGTGAGCCTGCCACCAGCCCAGATGCATGTGCAGCAACCGGTGCCAGTCAGTCAACAACCGCTTCCTGTCAGCGGTGCGCACCCAGCACCATGTGATTTGTTTGACGATGGTGTTGACTACAGAAAAGATGGAGTCTGGAAGGTCTTGAAAGACATTCCAAAGCTTGAAATAAGCCCTGGCGAATCTTGGGAAAGGGCGCTTCAGCTCAGTGTCTGGAAGGCTGAGCTCATGGCCATTGCGCATGCGGTTGGCCGACGGTGGTTTCTCTTTCTGCAAGAAAGATTTCAGCAAGCTGAATTTGTATATGAGCAGCGCCAGATCGGCAAACTGTCTACTTATGAGTACTTGGACGAAGACATGGAAAGTAGATCTCAGTGTGCCGGCTCTTTCTTCCACGAGTTTGAAAGTCGGTGCTGCATCATGTTGATGAAAACCTTGCCGGAGGAAGTGAAGAGGCCTGTCCTGGAATACTCTTCCAGGGCCAAGGTCACAAGTCAAAAGTTGTTGGTGTCATTGCTTGAAGTTTTGAATCCTGGCGGTAAGGAGGAAGTCAAGTCTCTACAGCAATGGGTGCGCTCACCGCCAACCTCACAGACTTTTGACGAGGCTTTCAAGGTGCTACGCCGGTGGCAGCTAGCAGTGTCACGTCTTTCAACGCTCGGCCTGCCGCCGCTTTCTGCCCATGAAAAGCTGGGCGCATTGGATTCAATCCTCCAAAAGTTGGAAAAGAAGTCTGAGCCTTTGAGATTCAAGCTGCAGGCTCTTAGAATGGCGCCTGAAATCCGCAGACCCCAAGATGCGGCTGTCCAGCAGATGCTTTCGCAAGTGGAGGAAGAAGTCCGTATTCTGCAAGCAGATGAGAGGACCAATTTCAACCGGCAAGGCTTTGTTGAAACAGTTTTTCGAGCAGAAGTAAAGCAAGCTTCCAGACCAGCCCCTACCAAGAATTTCTGTCAGTTCTTTGCGCAGGGGCATTGCAAGAAGGGGGACCAGTGTACTTTCCCACACCTCTCTCCTTGTAGATTCTTTGCCCTGGGTCACTGCAAGCACGGAGATGGCTGTCGGTACCCGCACATCAAGGGTACTTCTGGGGCTCCAAGGGCTCCCCCAAAGGCGCATAGTGCCAAGGCAGGACCAAAAAGGCCTGAAGCCAAGTCCAAGAAAGCTGCAGCAGCGGAAGGCTCTGTGATCGATGATGGGCAAGCTCGAGCATCTTCAGTTCGCTCACTAGCTATGGCAGCATCTACTCCACCTGCGCCTGTGGCAAACCACGCCACTTCAGGCGATGAGCGAATGGTTCTCATTGATTCGGGAGCTAATGAAGTTATTCGCCCTTTTCGCCCAGAACTGGAGAAACAACTGCAGAAGTTGTCAGCCATACAAGTGGCCCTTGCAAGTGGTGAGGCGGTTTCAGCGTACAGAACTAGAGATGGTGAATTAATTCTCCCTGTCGCAGCCGGTGCATCAGCAGAATGGATTGTGCCGTTAGAGCGGCTCACCGTGGGTTTAAATTGCATCTTCTCCTGGAGGGGGGCAGATGGCAACCCAACGTTGCATGTCCCTCAAGAAAATGGCGCTTTCCAACCAATTCAGGTGATCTTGAAGAATCGCCTTCCATACATCTCCTGGGCAGATTTCCAGCCTTTGAGGAGGAGGCTGGCAAAACTGTGGCAAGGCAAGCCTGTCAGGTGTCTTGCATGCCAGGCCATTCCTTCAGCTGTGCACTCAGGTCCTTTGCCGAGCTCTTCTTCGTCAGAGCAGAGGGGCTTGCACCCTACTGCTTCAGTCGGTCGGGGACTTGATGTGAACAGCTCTGGCCAGCCAGACCTCCGGAATGAAAAGAACGAAGACGATTGCAAGGCCACTCGTCCAGCTGCGCGCCCAGGTCCTTTGCCGAGCTCTTCTTCGTCAGAGCAGAGGGGCTTGCTCCCTACTGCTTCAGTCGGTCGGGGACTTGAGGTGAACAGCTATGATCTGAATGAAAAGAATGAACACATATTTGAGATGGAAACGTTGCACACGCTGGGAAAGAAGCTGATGGCTTTGGGTTTCGGGCCTCCTCCTGAACCAAAGCCGGCTGACCACGAAGTCTTTCATTGCAATTCTTGCAGGGCTGCTGTTTCTAGGATCATTGACCTTGAAGATGAAGATGTTCCAGTTGAAGTGGCAGGGGGTTCTTCTGAACTTTGTCCCGAGAAGGCGGCTTTGAAGAACTTGCAAGACCGCTGTCAACAAGGTCTTTATGACCGACAGTGCGAAACTTGTTTGAAGTCCAAGGGTTACAGGAGACCGCATCGGAAGCTAGCAGCAGAGAGCATTTCAAACGGCGTGTTGTCAATGGATCTGTCTGGTCCACATCCAACAAGCCTTGATGGTCACAAGTACATGCTTGTCACAGCTCTCCGACTTGCAAATGGTACGGTGCTTCCTTTTGTCAGAACGTTGCCAAACAAGGAGTCTTCAACCGTTCTTTCAGCTCTGCTTCAAGTCATGGCTCAGATCTCTTCAATGACTGGAGGTATAGCTGTGTACTTTCGAGTGCATTCAGATTGCGGTGGCGAGTTCACTGCAACCAAGGTCGTTGAACAAATTCATGCATTGGGACTCTGGAAGACAACCACCGCAGCTTACTCTCCTGAATCCAATGGTGTAGCTGAGCGAATGGTGCAACGCGTCAAGGATGATGCTACAAGATGCCTCCTGCATAGCGAGTTGCCGTTGCAATTTTGGACGTTTGCGGCCAGGCACAGTACCTTTGCGGCTCGGCAGCGGGCCCTTGGCCTGCCAATTCCTGAGTCTGTGCCCAAGGTAGGGCAGAAGGTCCTTGTCAGAAAGGTAAATGCTGACTCCTTCTCAAGCCGATTGAATGAAGCAGTCTTCTTATGCGAAGATGAAACAGTCCCAAACGGAGCATGGAAGATCTTTTGGAACTGGTCAAGAAGCAGATGAGCAACACCGAGCCATCTTGGGATGACTTTTGCAAGTTTGGACATGGCTACCTGCTATCTCTTGACCACCGCAGCACAAAGCCCAAGTGCAAGGCTGTGAAACCAACGGTGTCTCAAGAGACCGCGAAGAACAGATACTACATACTTCCTTTTGAAATGGGGGAAGAAATGAATAGAACAGAAGCTGATACCAGAGAGCTGATGGCATCAGCTGAATCAGTTCCGCAGACAGTTCTCTGGAGTGATGACATCTCTGAGGAGGAGAGGGCAAAGTGGCTCCATGGTCTGCAAACAGAAATAGATACCATGACAACGGGAAAGCAAGTTCTTCGCGAAGTCACCCGTGCAGAAGCTCGAGACATTTGGGAACTGAGCTCTGTGACAGAATTGCCAACGCCAGTGCCGAGCAAATTGGTCCTGACTCGAAAGCCTGATGTTGCTGCTGCGCTGTTTGAAACATCAGCAGCTGCAGCTTGCAAAACAGCTCTTGACTCTTGGAAGGCACGAGTGCGTTTGGTAGCCTGCGGAAATTTCCAAGAGGACACTCAGGCGCACATGCTTGAAAACTCTTCCGCCAACCCTTCTCAAGAGCTCTTGAGGCTCTTGTTGTCTATGCTGGCTCGCCATCCAGACTGGTCTGCCCTGGTGCTAGACATTTCCTGCGCATTTCTCAATGCATCGCTTGACAATGAGAGAGTTCTCATTCGACCTCCACCTGCATTAGTCAAACTGGGCCTTGTTTCGCCACATGTACTCTGGATGGCTTTGCGTGCAATTTATGGCTTGCGTAAGGCTCCGAAGCTGTGGGAAGAAGAAAGAAACAAGACGCTTGATCACCGCGTCCTCAAGCAGACACCTGACTCAAAGCTGGGTGATGTGACTATGCAGCCGTTAGAATCAGGAGCTTGGCTCTTGCAGTGCGATGGTGCTTGCGTTGGGCTCTTCATGATGTATGTGGATGATGGACTGCTTGTGGGTCCATCTGAGATACTGACCCGCCTGGGACTCGAATTGATGAAAATTCGGCGATGCGCTGACCAAAGCATTTTGCTCCACCAGACACCATGGTTGGCACAGGAGCTCAACAAAAGAGGCTGGTTGCACATGAAAGGATCGCCATCACTTCCAAACATTCCTGAGGGCACAGTGGAACCTATGGTCAGAGATGACCAATACGCCGAAGCCTTAAAGAAGGTGCAAAGTGAAATTGGCTGTCTGCAATGGATTGCTCTTCGCAGCCGTCCAGACATTGCAGCCACCGTCGGTTCAGCTGCATGTATGTCAACAGTGCACCCTGGCCTTGTTTCCAAACTTTGCCAAGGTATTTATTTGGCGCTACCTGAGCGCCACTCGCAACCATGGCGTGCTTTTTTGTTCACTTCCTGATGGCCCTCACCTAGATGATACGCTGTGGTGTTACGGTGATGCAAGTCTGGCTCCGGGGGCAAGTCGCAGTCGCACAGGTGTAATCATCCTGTGGGGAGACCACATTATCTCTTGGAAGTCACAACGGCAAGCTCTTACTGCTTGGAGCGCTTTTGAAGCTGAGGTTGATGCCAGTGCCACAACATGCCAAACTGGTGTTCCACTCAAAATATTGCTAGAGCAAGTGGTGAGCGCTCCAGTAAGAATGGTTTTAGGAAGTGACAATGCAGCTTGCGTCGTCAACTGCGTGAAAGGTTCAAGTTCCACGGTGCCCACACGCACCCGCCACTTTGGAATGAGATGCGCCTACATTAGAGATCAGGCCAAACGTGAAGGGTTTGAGATTGAACATGTGGCTGGTACACAGATTCCTGCCGATGCGCTGACAAAAGTATTGCCACGATGTAGGCTGGAAGATTCGCGACAGAAGCTCAAAGTGCTGGCAGCTGAATGAAGGCAAAAATGGATGACTTTCTTACCATCCTTTTTGAGGAGGAGTGTTTCCGACTCATTGCTTGTGCTGCCAGGTGCGATCTTTTAGCTTGAAGTTTGGTGATGATTTCAACCAAAGCATGGACAGTTGATGACCTTTGCAACCATTGCCTGGAACATGTGACCTTACCTTTTCCTTTGGCTCAAGATGTGTGCATTTTGCGCGTAAAAGGAGCGCGGTTTTGCTTTGCATTCATGATTTTGAACCTGTGCTGAACGCACAAATCGAGAAGTGAACCTAAGAAGGACACAGCACATATCGAGAAGTGTCCAAGAAATAGTTTGAGAGATTCAACATAATTTGCTTTGAAAGGAGATTTGATTTGACGTGATTTGTGAAAGTGAGAGCAAGTGAGAACTGGAAAGAGCGAGAAACATACACCGATTGAAAATGCCTTTGGAACAGCCAAGTGACTATCCGAAAGCGGCATTGCAAGCACACAACTCTCTCTCTGCTCCAACTCATTTCTCTCCCGTTCCAGACACACCAGAGTCACACCACGCATGTCCCTACAGTGCCCAAGCATTCGACATACATTCGACCTCAGCTGCCCCCAGTTGTTGGAATCTGTTGACCATGCACTACCTATGTTTGGCCATGTTGTCCCTCAAGTTAGCCTGCACTGTGTAAGTGTGTTTCCGGCAAATCCTTGGTGAGGGGGGGCAGAAGGAATGACAAAAATCAGACACTAATACATAATGCCCTTATTCGAACCACCATCTGATAACCTTGACCGAACAACCATGGAGAAAAATCAGAAGAGGATTACAGTGCAACACCAGGTCAACCATTTGTTAAATGTTTTCTTGAAAGCTAGGCCGGGGAAATCCAATTCTGCCCCGCATACTCTTCCAGCTGGTCAGTTGTTTTGAGGAAATCGAAGACCCTGACCTACCACAATTCCAAAGACAAGCTGCCAAATCTGTAAATCCACTTTGCCAAGCTCTGTCGCTTGCGTTTTTTTGCAATCCGACTGCATCCTCATGCATTCTCCGTCTGTAGGGCCTGGCAAAAGTGCTTCCTGTGACTCCTAATCCAAGACTTGCATGTTGAATCTGTACTAGCTTGTTTTGAATGTGTTCCGGGTTAAGGTTATCTCCATCGGAAATACATCCATGGATCCAGCAATAAACAATATGAACATCAGTGACATCCACGCACTAAGAACTGTTCGTGGGTTCTGGGAATAGGTTGAAACGTGTGAACGTCTATGGGCACTTTATCCCCGTGTTTTGGACGCCCCGAATCATCGTGCGTCGGGATGAGATGGGTGAAATGCGACGTGTGATCCCCAGACACGACGTCTTTGGGACTGGCACATTGACATACAGACAGGGGTGTTTGGTTTTCAGGGGTCTTTCTGGGGTGGCATATATACCAGTTCCATGTGTCGTGTACCAGTCCCATGGTGGTTGTTTGAAAAGGGGTCTGGCATATACACCATATATATATATACCAGACACCTGGACCCTCCAAGTCCGGTGGTTTTGGGACGCTAGAAAATAGACACCACTGGGTGTCGTCCTGGCATGGAGTATTTGTGATCGCACTACCTCGCTCGATCGATGCGCTCGCAGGACCTCTCGCCACAGAGCGCTCGCAGCGGCACGGACTGCGGGATGGGTGGAGGGTGGACGCGATGGATGGGCGGATGAGAAGAGGAGGGGGCGCGAAAGCCAGGCAAAAAGGGTGTAAACTCGAAGCTTTTGGCTTTTGTCCCATTTATTGAATAAACCCGTCTCTGGCGAAGAACCAAAGGTTTTTGTGTCACAACGAAGAACTGGGGACCCTGCGGCGTCCTTGGCTCCGCGGTGGAGCGGCCGGCCGGATCGCTGAGTTTCCGTACCATCTACTCCTCTTCGGTGTTGGGATCCCAGGAGCATCTCCGACGCAACAAGATGTTGGGTGTGAAATAGAAGAGGGATACCTCTTGGGATCCAAAGTACCAAGCTATTTTGGTGTTTTGGTGCCAAAAGCAGGGCTCAAGAACCACTAGCGGGTCTAGATTGCTTGTTAGCCCCAGAGCTCACGTGAGCTCGATCTTTCGGGTTTCGCCATACCTGTGGCTTCACCTGCTTGGCACCGACGCTGTCGTGCCAAACGATCTGCGGCAAGGGCCTTTATCCAGAGGCATAGGCACCGGAGAGTGCTCAGCTGTAAGGTACTGGCTAAGCTTGTTCAGCTTTGCGATTTCCTTTCTGCTCACCATTCCAAGCCACGTTACTCCTTGGATTGCTTCAAGGTGGCTGCTATGACATGGCGAGGTCAACAGAATTGGAACCAAAAGGCCCAGGATTGGAAGAATGCCTGGCCTGTCGACAAGAAGAACCAAGACAAGCAGAAGAAGGCAAAAGAGAATCAGAACGCCAAGGAGAAGGAGAAGACCGAACGGCCTACCTTTTTCCTCAGCCACGATGGAAGAAAAGTTCCATTAGGTTCTGGTGGTGGAGCCTTTTCTGCGGCCTCGGCGTCTACCTCAGCACGAGCTGTACAGGAGGAGAATCGCCGCCTCAAAGAGGCCTTGAAGTTGATTTCGGAGAAGAGGACGGTCGACAATGGGGTATTGGAAGACTGTCAGAAGCTCATCCAGAATCCTCGCGAGCAGCTCCGAGAGAGACAGCGCGAGCTCAACAAGGAGAAAAAGACCCTGACTCGGCAAGAGAAGTTGGAGGCGACGATCAAGGAGACCGACGACAGCTACAAGAGCTGGCGGGCCGGTATGGAAGAGGGTCTAAAGCAGGAAGATGCCCGACATGTAGCGGAGATCGAGAAGCTGCAGCACGAGCTCAAGGAGCTTCAGGAGGGCAAAGACCCAGATGCTATGAAGGAAGACATGGACGACGAGAAGCTCTTGCGAGAAGGGTCAATGGCTCAGGAGCTATACGAAGTCCGGGAGAGTATGAAGGAGATGGCCTACCATGTGGAGACTTTGGAGCAGCGGAACCAAGAGATGGTGATGCAAATGAACTCTCAAGTGCAAGCCTTGGTCACAGCCATCAAAGGCAGCAAGCCGATCGAGCTCTTCAACGAGGGGTCACCACAGCTTATCAAGAAGCCTCAGGTCTACATGTCGCCGAGGACCAATTCACACGATCGCTCGAGATCTCCAGTGAAGAGGTCAGCAGAAGCGGCAGAGCTGAAGGATATTGGGGAGATCCATACAATGGTACGTCCGCTCCTCAAGAAGATCCCGGACGAGCACCATCACAAGATCATGGCTATCTTGGAGGCAGAGGGCGACAAGTATCAGACCCTGGAAGCCGCCGAGATCCTGATCCAGCAGGTCATGGTGCAACTTGGGCTGTATCCAGGGCATTCGAGTCTGGATTCACTAGACTCACCCAGCGAGGTTGCAGTTTTGCCCATAGGCCGAGGTGTTTTGCAGCCTTTTGGAGGTCCCAAATCCCTCAAGAAGTCGGAAGCCATGCCTGCTCGACCCAAGACAGGCGATCCCGGAAGGGAAATGTGAACTTGGCGGAAGGAATGACAAATGGTGGAGAGGAACCGACTCATTTGAAAGTCGAGACGCCCTCCTCCCAAAACTTTTTTGAAGTTTTCGGTGAGTCCTGTCCATTTCATGCAAGGGATCCTTTGAGAGTTTGGTTTTGCGCTCTGTTTCAATTAGATAGCAGCATACCACCCACCCTGTTCTGGACATGGAATCGGATATTCCGCCTCTTTGATAATGTGCTCTATGGCAAGCAAGCAAGTGGGCATGGGGTTTTTGCTCACTGCGACGCTGGTGATTTTGGCTGGTGCTCAGGGTCCTCATGGTCTGAAGCTTTGAGGAACTGGTCTTCCGTGGTACCATGCTTTCCCAGCAGATCTATGCTTGCCTGCTTGGTATATAGTTTGATGTGGCTTGTATCATTTGGTATTTTGCTCTTCTACCATGAGAACTTCTTTCAGGAGCTCGATCCGGGGTGGAGGGCACGTCGTTTGATCCAAATGCCAACAAAAAGAACGAGCAGTGCTTTGGGTATTGCACAGATAGCTGCAGGAGGTGCCTTGTTAGGTATACTGGAGCAGCCAATACAAGATTATGAAGGAGATATCAATGTTGCAGCAATGGCCTTGATCCTACTATGCCGGATGCACTTTCTAGGGGGGTTGGTTGCATTCTCCTTTTGGATTGCCAGGGGGCGGCTTGAAGAAAGGATGAGGCTACCATCTTGTGCAAACATGTGTGCTTGCGCCCGCCGCAGGCGCCCTCCACGAAGAAAAACAAAGGTCAGAGCAGCTGCATTTTTTCTGCTTCTCAACTTATGTTGTGCTGAAGCAGTGGCGGTGGAACGTGCGCTTCGGGCCCTACCAGAGGCCCATGATAGTGTCACGAACGATCCAGATGATCTCCCTCCTTTTTCGCCTTACGAGGGGGGATTTCGACATGAAGGCGATACTAGCCGACCAGAAGGCTTTGGAGATGGCCCAAAGGAACTGGGAAATTTTGATCGGCATGGCGAACATGACCTTGCTGAATGTGATGACAATCATCAAAGCCCAGCCGTTTTGTGCCATTGCCAAGCTCCTGTTCCTTCCACGAGGGATGGTAGAGCTAATTCGACCAGGCCACGTTTTGAGGCAGTGTCTGACGAGACTGCTGTGAGTGGGGATTATCCGTTTTTGGATGCTTTTCAATATCAAGATGGACCACAGAGGGGTAGTGTTTCTCTCTGTGACGTTGTGTATGGAGATAACACTGCAACTCCGGATGACTGTTGCTCCATTTTTTCTGTGGGGATGACAACCTCCTGGGTCCTAGAAACAGGACAGTGGTCAAGATCTCTCGATGGGACCTGCTGCCGCCGTTTGCTAGACGGAGAGAGAGGATTGTTCACTACGCGTGCGTGGGAACAAGGAGCAAACACTGCAACTCCTTTCAAAGACAAGCTGCCGGATGAAGATGATATCGAGCAGTATGTCAGACGCTTCTGGCATCTTGAGGAAGCTGCAATGTTTGTCTTTTCGACACAACGACTTCCCCCCTTGATGCAAAGGCAACTATCTGCTGCAGCGCCTACACAGGGAAGACCACTTTTTAAAGTTCTGTGTCGAAGTGCATCAAAGTGGGGTTTCCTTTCTTATTGCTGCATTGGAGACAACACTGCAACTCCAGCAACTTGTGATATTATGTCTTGTGAGACGGATGCACCGATCTGCCCTTCAGCCGCTTTTTTGAGGCTTGCGCTGTCACCTTGTGGACGACAGCAGGTGTTGACGGACAGCGGGCAGAAAGATGCAATAGACAATAGCAAGGTGGCGGGAGAGAACACTGCAACTCCTGGCGACAGAAGGAGAAAAGTTCTCTTCACCGGTTCCCAGAAGGGCTTGCGATATCCTTCCCAATGCAAGTATCAGCTAGATGCTGAGCATGAATTTTTCGACAGTGATAATTACGATCCAGTTTGGCTCATGCAAGGGCTCTCACCCCTGGAACCACGACAGCCCTTTGCAGTAGCAAGTGAGAGAGGCCGACCCCTTTTGGACGTATTGCGATTGGCGCGAAGAACCTTTACAGAAACCTGGCTGTCTCAGGGTCATGATGTGGCTTACACACGATTTCGACCTATTGAACCTGGCCTTTGGGAGAAGAAGATCTTAGGGTGGAAGTTCCTGGCATATGAACAGCCATTCGGAATCCCATTTTGTGTCCACCTGCTGAGAACAGGCCTATGGGCCTCACAGCTCATCAGCCCGTTTGAAGACGAGGGCTACCTTGAGATCCTCTTTGTCACAGTGACACCTCAGCCTCTGATGCTCTGCGTGGCTGGTAGCTGCAAGACTTTACACGACACGGCAGTTCTGGCCGTTGTTCAAGAGGTCTACAGCTCTGACAGATTGCTTTTGGTGGTGGAACATGCAATCCAAGGCACGCTCGAGGTTGGTTCGCTGCAATGTCCAATAGCCTGTACCCCAACTACGATATGTATCGAGTTGGGATTCGAGGAACGATGCCGAGGTCCTTGCATTGCACAAGTCTATTTCAGGCTAGAACAGACTGAACGCATCTTTACAGATGAAGACCGAATTGGCCTGCCGATGGGCTCCTTTGTTCACTTCAGTCTACGATGCCTGGAAGTTTGTGATGAGGAACTCCCAGCCCAAAGACCGGTCAGAGAGCATGAAATGCTGATTATAGCACAAGCCTCTCAGGAGCAGTCTCTGCCAACAACAGCGATTACTCCGATCGATGATGCAACTTCGATGATGCAGTTCGGATGGATGGCAGATATGGCGAATGATGAATCAGAGTATCTGCAAGGAGTCAAGGAGCTGGTTGACCGTGGAGAAGCAGGTTTCACATGGCCCTACCCAGATATGATCAAAATTGACCTTGTCACTGGGGCCACTGACCATTTGCGCTTCTTCCTGGCGACAGTATACAGCTTCGACGCCATCAAACTCTTCACGATCCATGTCTGGCAAGTACAGATTTCCGTGACTGCATATGCACGAATCTCTGTTATGAGACAGGAGAGATCTTTCACTGAGGCTCTGAAAAAAGATTGGAGCGACCTTGAGGAGGTTTTCCCAATGTGGGGAGCGCTTGCCAGTCCCCAACCTCTCCCATTGAACCTCCGGATTATGCCCATCGACATGATTCTACTCA